CCTACTTTCGATTCAGTGAGTAGATAACAGATAGATCTACGTGCATGGCTAGCATATTCCACTTGGCGATTCTTGACAATCTATTGTCGATATTGAGACCACAAGAATAGCGAAACCGTGACTCTTTATGATCTTTTATGGATTTCGATAGCACTTATATGGTTTTATGGCCGCTCGAACTTATACCGAGCGTTTTTATAGTGAGCCCATTGAGATGTGTCTGGTATTGCATATCGCTGTTAAAATGGCAATTATTATTCTATTTCGAATCGGTTAATTACTGCATTCAAAGCAGAGTACAATGGTTCTGAACAGGTGTAATTTCGATTGGTATTGGTAATAATTGTTGTTAGTGTTTCGAAGTTGTCAGTCTGAAAGCACGACCGACTTTATTTCAGAGATTGGTTAATAATGTTAGTTTAAATATAACCAAATGTTGTAATGTCTCTTAAAAATAACTGACCTAACCTCAAGATCATTTCAGTGGTGATTTTCCGGGTAATTCTAAGGCGTCAAGTACATTATTTATATAAACATCCATAGATCCAGAAAAACATAGCTTTCAAGGTACAGGGAATCGGAATTATAATAATAAATTGTCTATATTTCTTGACGGAATTTAGCTGACCCTATTCTTCCACTCAACCAAGTTTTAAAGTTACAAAATTGTTCATTGAGCATATTTATAAAAACCTTACATTAAATTCATCTAGTCTACAAATCTCGCTACAAATTGAAAAAAAAACTCATAGTGCAGTAATAAAAAAATAAGCCTTTTTGTATAAATAACAGAGCAACAAAATTGTGAAGAAATTTGCTATAATCAGATTCACGAAAACCCAATTTGAAAAATAAACTCTTCGTCATAGAATAACCCTAAAAATCAGCCCTTGAAGTGAGAAATAAGAATTCAAAACAAAAAATTTTAGCGACTTTCAACTCCCTGTATATCAAAAACCCGTTTCTCCATGACAGATCAAAAAACGCGTTTATAATATTTTCGATGTTCCTGTATGGAATGACGAAGTAAGATAAGTTAATCCTGAGACACCTTGTATACAGGGTGTTCTCCAGATTGAAACAATAAATCAAATGGTTGATGGAAAATAGATTCTGCAATGTTGCCAGACGTTCTATAATAATATAAAAAAGTGGTATTTTGAGAGCGTATATATTTAAAAAAAAAACATCTTGCCACTCATTGACTTCATTGACTTTTTTAAATCAATGTTGTTATACATGTTTTGCTAATGAATATTTTTCATCAAATTTTTGGGATCAAACCGCACTTGAAAGCTTCTGATTGCCCTGAACTGAAACTTGGAATTATACTTTTTTTCAAATATTATATGATGATAAAAAGTCTATTATCACCAAATTACGATATTGGGGTTTCTCAAGGATCAATCTTAGGTCCAATATTATTTTCTTGTGTATCAACGAATTACCTTCAATTATTTGAGAATCATTCACATGCATGTATGCATCAGACGATGCCGCATTATTATTCACAAGTAAAAATGAGGCAGAAATCCAAGATAAAATAAACCGAACAACGTCTATCTTATGTATTTGGAAATCCCACAAAAACTACCAGTTTGATTTTTCACACTTCCCAAAACCATAACCTGTCGAAGCTAACGGTTAGTATCAATGATACCAAAGTGTAGAGCCTTCAAAAAGTACTACATTTTTAGGTATAACCATGAACAACAATAATCTTTTAGTATTCACTGCAGTAAGCTGAGCAAATCAATGAATTCAAAATGTTACCAAATCAAGGATCTCAGAAATTTTTTGGATAATCGAGGTCTGAAACAATATTACTTTAGTCAGATTCAGTCTAGATTATCATATGGAATAATGTTATGGGGAAACTCAACAGGAGTATAGGACGTATTCATTTCTCAAAAGAGGATCATCAGATCGATTGCAGGAATATCAACTACATTCTCATGTCGTAGCCTTTTCAAAAAACATGAAATTTTACCACTGGTTGGACTTTTCATTCTGGAACTCTTAGTTTATGTTCATAGAAATAGAAATTCTTCTACAAGAAACCGATCCTTTCACAAATATAATACGAGAACAAGAAATGATTTTCATATTCCTAATCACACTTTGTATGAAATCATATAAAATTCTTGGACTGAGATTATATAACGTTCTTCCCGATGTCTTGAAAAATATCAACTCAGTTCATTGCTTCAAGAAAATGTTATGTAAGTTACTTTTAGAAATAATCCCATACACAATAGCTGAATTTTATGAATATCTTGAATGATTTCAGAAGTGGGGTTAGATGGTCCTCTTATTTTGAATAGTCTTGTACCTATATTAAGTGAGCTCATTTAATGGATCAAAATTTGTATCTATCTATCTATCAAAAAGTGCCACATAGTGAGTATATTCAATGTTTCAAATTTGAAAAAAAACATATTGAAATTCCGAGATATTCACCAAAGAGAAAGGGGGTGGGACTTCTTCTTCATCAGGAACATTTTTTTATTGAGAATCAATTCTACCACCATTTCCGAATGAAATGGATTTGACCATGAATTATATTACAAGGTGCGCCGAAAAATGTGGGAAACATATGAAAGACACCAGTCAACCCCTCTGAACCTTGTGGTTGAGAAATAATTGAATTATTACTTGCATTTTTGAAACATAATCTCGGCCTCAAATTTATTTAAATGAGAATAATAACAATGCGCTTTCCTTAATTAACCGAGAATTATTATGAACATGAACGCATAAGTATATCCAGCCGTTAAATGGGAATGATTATATGAAAAGGAAAGTCCGTATAAATGTCTATAACAATGCATTTTCACACTATTATTATGTGTTTTACCTTTAGAGCCTCGGTTTGTGTAATTTCTATACTTATGATGTATCTGATGCCTGCTGAATTCACACAATGACTGCCGATGACGAATGTCATTCATCGGGTTCTAATTGTCCCACGGATGTTTCAGCAATTTTTCAGATGAAACTGATGTTTTGTTTTGCATAAATGTCCTTCAGGAGGTTTACGAAATCGGATCCAATTCAATGGACAAGATCGATAAAATGAGAACTGAACTGTTTGTTATATGAATATATAGTAGTTCTATACGGTATTTAATGGTATAATATCGGTTTTTCTGAAATTTGGAACATACTCTCGATATTCAAATGAAGCACACTGTATATTCAAAGTTGACATTTCGTTCTTCTGAACTGAACTCTTATTCTATTTTTTGATCTATGCATGCATGAACTTCGTAAAATTATTCGAAATAATCAAAATAGTAGAAGTATCTTCACGGAAACCTAAGTATCAAATTATTATCAACTAGCAGACCTTTCAAACCTTGTCTTGCTATATAAATTATTTCTATAATATATTTTTTCAGCTCAATATTCATCAAGAGACTATCATTATTTTATGTTCTAATTCTTTTTAGTTTCGCTACCTATATGAATGCGTGTTTCTTTAGTTTTTCAAACTACCATTTATTTCAACTTCTTTTTAGTTCACTTGAAGTTCCCAATTTTGACGAAAGAATCATAATATCCGACTCCTAAAATCCCAGATGAAAATTTTGAATATAGAGTCAGAACATAATTACAAAACCCGTCCGCTAGGAATCATAATTTTGATTCCGAAAACGCCTTCTTACCAAATTTTGAATAGACTCGGTATATAATTACAAAACTCGTTCGATATATTAGATCCGCCATCTTGAATTCCCTAATAGTACCGGGATAAGAAGTACCTATCCTGTAACCTTCTCCTGGTTCTAAAGCTACCTTCCCATCAATTCTCCTTTATAATATTAGTATAGACTTTTTTAATCTATGGAATATAGATTACTGAATGCATTATTGAATATCGAAAATGCGCGAGCACTATTTTGATTATCTAGAAAAATTTTAGGAAGATCAAAATATTGTCATAATATACAGGGTGCCCAATATCAAAATCAAATCTCAAAAGTTGATATAGAATCTAGAAACAGCGGAAGTTGATATTTTTCCGAATATGTCAAATGTGCCGTCGAGTGAGTCAATGTCTCAAATTGAAAAAAAAAATGGAATCCCGAGACATACATTCCCCACTATACAAAGAAGAAGAGGGGGTGGGAAATATTTTTTTCCAATGAAATCGATTTGACCATGAAATGTAGGAAATCTCTCGAATCATGGTCGCTAAAGGACGCCACTGGAATTTGTTTCTGGATTTCTTGAATAACATTCAAGAAAATGAATATAATCCGATGAAAAGTCAATATGAGGGACACCGGTAAGGACCCCTTAAAATAGTGTCTTTGAAACATATTCAGCTTTCTTAGTTCATCGGGCTCAAATTTTAACACCCTGAGGAATGCATTTTTCTCCAGAAATTTTTCTTTATCTGGGAAATCGTCGAAATTTTCTGGGAAATATTCTGTATTTTGGCTCCGTAGAAATTCTGATCTTTTTTTCCTTCAATGAAATGATGAACGAACCAAATCTGCTAATATTGAGTAAGTAGTCATAAAGGATAAATGGAAGAGTACATTCAAATAACGGAGACGAGAAATTACAAATGAACAGAATTATACTGTAGATATTTTGTGAAGTTGACCACCATGTAATGAATGAACTTGATGTTTATTCGAAATCTGTATGAATTCAGTGGTACAAGAACCTGAAAAATAGTCAATATACCTATTTCTACTATGCACTTTGTTGGTGAATCAACTATTATATGACTATCTATACAAAATATAAGTGAAGGGGCAAAAATTATGATTAACATACCACTCATTTTGGTGTTAGATTAAAATCTGGTTGATAACAAATTTTCTTGATCAAAACAACAATTCCATTCGTATGGTGACTAAACATATTCAACTATTGTTCGCTGATTGATTTAATTACAAAACCAGATAGGATCATTTTCATATGCTCTTTTTGGTTGATTTAACCCATCAATTTCTTTGAGTGTTCTTGTGAATTTTTTTACGCACTTGGTACAGCGTATCCCACCACCCTGTATACAAATCCAGTATATCCCACGGAAATCCTTCGTGGTAGCCACTTAACTGTACTCACTTTCCACAAAAAAAAACTCAGGAACCTCACTTCACAAAAAAATCAAAGAAACAAAAACACCAATGGGAATGGTCTCATTGAAAAGATCATAAACTAACTAAAAACTAAGAGTGTCCTCTCGCGTAACCCCTTTTATATGAGAGGCAGAGGATGGATGCTACTGCAGTCCCCCAAATGAGTTGTGGCGCTTTCTTCTCCACGGATCGTTCACTGTTTGATTGGCAGACTGTGGTGGAGAGAGTAAGTGCATCTTCTGGTCTATGATTTTTTTCGCGAATATGTACAGGGTGTGCCGCAATAAGATCGAAAAAATTCGATTCAAAAGTATTTGAATTGACGTAAGTTAATTTGCATTTTTTTGGGATCACACATTCAATGAATGATGCATTCGATTATGGCAAACTTGAAGGAATGCTTTGTGGGTCGTTTTAATCAACACTAGAAACATATGAACTTTTTTTTATCGGATAAATTTCTCTTGGTAACGAATATCATTTGCCGATCAGTAATTTTACGAGAGAAACTGACATGAAAAAATTGCGAGACAGTAGGTCGAGCAATTTTGTCTAATGTCAGTTTTTCGACAGAAATAACTGATGGAAAATGTTTGACTTAGTAAGGAAATTTATCCAATTGAAAAAAAAACTCGAGTGTTTTTTGGCAAGATAAATCAACGACGATATACAAATAAACAACAATAATGATTGCAGATGATTTCGTGTAACTGGTAGTTCGCGGAATCGTCGTCGTCAAATAGCGTTCTCCGTGTAGGAGTTGATTTATCGTCGAGAAAAATGCCTCATAATTAAGAGCAATGCAATGCAATGCAATGCAGTTTTAGCCTTTGACCTGTCCAATAGCTATGTTATTGAGCTTATTTATTGGATTGAAGTTTCTATCTATCTATCTATCAATTATCGAAAAATTACAGCGGTAGATAACATTTCTTCGAGAATTTCTTTATTCGTGAAATATTCCTATGAATTACATTCGTGCATAAAAAGACCAGATAATTTTGCAATTACGCACGGATATTTTCATAATTTGGCGAAAGAACCCGAATTCGAAGACGGAGGGCGCTTTTGCCAAAATATGAAAATAAACTTGCAGACGCTTTCTTGCTAAATAACCGGTAATTTTTATGCACTTGTGCAATTTATAATCGTTAATTTTTGTATTTCATTATTTTCGTGTGAACCTGATGACAAGTATAATGCTCTACCTATAGCCAAGTTTGAAAAACATATTTTGCACAAACTAGTCAAACTACAAACCTTTGTACACTTATTATCGTTTAGTATTCACAATATTTTCATACATAATTTCAATTTGAGCTTTCCTATCAAAAAGGTTTATCAAAATAAAAAGTTGCAAAATCAGAATGTAATTAGGGACCGAGAAATAGATGAGTGTAAGCGACAACTGGACGTTCTATATGTTTTGAGCTCTGTTGACATTAGATATAAAACACAGTATAGCGAAGCAAAAAAGTCATATGAAAATACACTAGCACAAAAAAAGAAGGAACAACTTAAACATAAAATAGAAACTTCAGATAACAAATCTAAAACAGTGTGGTCAATAATAAATAGCATAAAGAGCGGTTCAGGTAGTCAGAGGGATGTTCAGGTACCTGGAGATAGTGAAACAGTTGCAAACAGTTTTAATAATTATTTCCTTAACTCTGCATCAGACTTAGTATCTGAATTACCTGAAAAAAGTCACATATCTTATGTACAACAAGCTGATAGATCTATGTTTCTTAGGCCAATTACAGGAAATGAAATTTTGTCTGTGATAAAAAATTTGAAAAATAAACAAAGCAGTGGTGATGATGAAATTCCAACTTCATTAATAAAATGTTGTGTAAATGAAATTATTATACCTTTGACATATGCAGTTAGTAAATCATTTGAGATGGGAGTGTTTCCAGATAGATTAAAATTAGCAACTATTAGACCTTTACACAAAAAAGGTGAGTTGACACTGATTGAAAATTACAGACCAATAAGCCTACTACCAAGTTTCTCAAAAGTTTTTGAAAAATGTATGAGCAACAGATTAATGGAGTATCTACTGCAGAATGACATGTTCTGTACATGTCAACATGCATACCTGAAAGGAAAAGGAACTCACACAGCCCTGTATCAATTCATTGAAAACATTTTGCAATCACTTGAGAAAAATGAAGTTATAATGGGTTTATTTTTGGACTTAACAAAAGCATACGACTGTGTTAATCATCAACTTCTACGGAAAAAATTAAAGCTCTATGGAATAAACGGTTTAGTCTATGATTGGCTAAATTCTTATTTATCAGGAAGATCTCAGAATATAATGATTACTAAACAGGGTGCGACTGTTAGGTCCAAAACCGAACTCGTTAAAATGGGAATTCCACAGGGTAGTATAATTGGTCCAATAATATTCATCTTATATATAAATGATTTGCCAAACTGTATCACGAATATAAACTGTTTTTTAAGTAACTATGCCGATGATACCAACATTTTAATAACTGCACCGAATTTTAATACTATACTCGAAAACACAGAAAATATTTATTCAACTATGTCAGGGTGGATCTCAAATGAGAAGCTACTATTGAATGAAAAAAAGACAAATTGTCTAATGTTCAAAACAAATAGGTCGCAGTTAGAATATCCTAAAAGCATTCGGTTGAATGAAGCTGAAATCAATATAAGTACAGAAACTAAGTTTCTAGGAGTAACTATAAATGAAGTTCTGTCATGGGAAAGTCACATAGGAGAACTCGCGAAAAAATTAAACTCTGTCTGCTATACACTGAGGGTTATGTCACAGTATTTAAGTGAAGACGGACTGAAAGTAATTTATTTTTCAAATTTTGAATCTCTTGTTAGATACGGTTCAATTTTTTATGGTAGTAGTAATTCTGTAGAAAAAATATTTATATGCCAGAAAAGAGCACTGAGAACAATAAAAAAACTTAGTTTCAGAGCTTCTTGCAGAGGCATTTTTAAAACTAACAAAATTTTAACTGTTGCAGCAATATACATTGAAGAGTGTCTAATGTTTTTATTCAATAATAAGGATTTTTTTAATGCAAATTTACCAACACATTCATACAATAGTAGAGACAGGTATTACACATATCCTATTCACAGACTGACTGTTACAGAAAAGGGTGCCAAATATTCTTGTATGAAATTGTTCAATAAATTACCACAGAATATTAGACTGATAGAAAATCGAAATCATTTCAAAAATGCCATACGAAAAATTCTAATAGATAGTGAACCCTATACAGTACAAGATTATTTAAATGTCTCTTTAAATATTTAAGTATACTTATTTTGACGAATATTTCGTTCTGAATGTGTATGTAATCTTTTTATTTATATGTGATTTTCGAAATAAATATTATTATTATTATTCAATACTGCATGTCCTTTAAAATTTTGGTGAAGGAACTGAAGGTTCTTCTACTTGAATCAATTTTTATCGACAACAGTTTGTCCCAACGATTACAGACAAAGGTACCTTTTTGATACAGAAATATTTCTGATGATGAGAATTTCGAATTTTTTGAAAAGCTACCTTTGAAAATTTTGAGGCTCATATAACGTGATAAGGCTATAGTCCGCTCCTGTAGTTTTTCGCTGTTCCTATCAGCCATTCAGATAAACTCACTTCAAAAACAACATTTTTGTGTCTTATCTTCTCTCAGTGTCCTTCAGCTTCAAGAGTTAACAAAAAAATGTACTACTGGTAGGTAAGTACATCATTCTCTGAAAAATTTAAAAAACGTATGTATTTTGGAGAAGATTTTATTTCGATCTCCTCATTTGTACTCATAAATTGAAATACTGCTATGAATTCCTGGATATTTCTCAATCATTTTTATTTTCCCTTATAAAGTACAGAGATAGTGGGTCCATCATAATAATCATCAATGTAAACCGCAAAAAAACTGCGACTTCCTCGCTAGTTATAAAAAACCCTGGTCATTCTGGATAGAATCTAATCTGTAATTATATTTTTGATAGATGTTCTATTAAACCGTTGAGATTTCATTGAAATCAGCGACTCAATGTCAACTGTTTCTCGGAATAGTTATTTGTTTTACTAGGCAGAAAACTACAAGATTGAATGCTGCGGCTGGCGTTTAATAGCCTAGGTGTAGCCGAGGCTAGGAAATCAGCCAAGGCATTCTTTTCTGCCATGTGTAACATATGAATTTTTCTCCAAATTCACGCAAAGTCCAAATAATCCATAATTTTTTGTTCACCCGAAGTGATTGCCAATTTTGATTACCAATTTGATTCAAATTATTTGGAACGTTGCATAGCAACAAACTAGGCAAGTAAAAGTATACACCTTTTCTACCTGTTAAGGGTCAATAAAAATTCACTTTTAAATGTCATTTGGAGAAAATAGTAGATTGTTTTATTAGGATCAAAAGTGACACTTTGTTTGACAAGCGAATTTTGCATTTGCGAGGCGGAGCGTTTAGCGAAGCCGAGCGAAAGCAAAATTTGCGAGTCGAACAAAGTCACTTTTGATCCGAATGAAACATGCTATTTTTTCTGCAACCGAAACAATTAACTCAAATGAATATGTGAAGCTACCACCAATGCCGTGCCATATGTATGCAATGCAACAAATATTGACAAATAATCCGTGTAGTGAGAATATTCTACCTGCATCAACAGCGGTTCATTCAATTCTCAAGGATGTTCGAATTGTAGTTTCAATATAAAGTAAAATCACAGAGTGACATATTTGTGTGTGTATGCACCAGGTGCTCTAATAGCAAATACCGCGCCAGTGCCAGCTATAGGAACAAGACGTGGAAAATGTTAGGTTAATGAGCATATCAACAATGATAATGGCGATTATTTACTCCTCTCGTATAATACAATGTTTTTCACTTAATAATCAAATGAAGCTAAACAATATCGTTGTTTGACACAAAAAACTATTGCTTGCCGTGATTATTCAAAAACAAGTTATCCATCCTGAGAATAACGAATGAAATACAAATCAAGCAAGTATTTGAATCTTGAAGGCTTCCCTGATCAAACAAAAATACTTAGCTGAGATGTTTATAATTCCAATACTAAACTATAATAAGGTGTATTTATATCTCCAGCATGGGTATGAAATTCCAAATCTGCTGAAATCGGAAACAAATCAGGTATGCGTCTCAACCCAAAAAACCAATCGT